GGGTTTTTTACAAACACTGTATAACTAATACTACTGGAGAGGGTACGAATTACACAGAGGCTTCTGGGAAGCCCATTTATAGGGGGGGGAGGGGTTCATTTTGCCTTGGCCCCCTAAATGCCTTGAAACGGCCCTGGGTGTGTGACTGAGTTTTGAAGGTGATCTGAATTGTATCAGATATATAAATATTACATGTGTATAACTTATTGTTTTATACAGGTAAAAATGTGTAGTGGAGATAAATCTACCTACATTTTACTTTTCAACTCATTGTTTTGTTTTCTTGTTTTTATTTAACTATTTTCTGTCCTGTCTGTCTCTCATCTTCCTGCATCTCCTCTAAACTCTCCAGAAAAACTGCTGCCTGGATTCTTACTTTTTCACCTCATCAGTTACTTATGAGCAGATCAAAGGGATCTCCTGACCACAAAGCGGAGAGCGCGTTTCGATGCTGCGTCAGTGAGGTGAAATCACCGCAGCACAGGTGATGAGCTCCACAGTAGCAGAGCGCTTCAGGCACAAATAAGACAGAAAATTGAGAACATGTGCGGACATGAACGATCGTGTGCTAATGATAGTTTTTTGGTTGTGCCACTTTGAGAATGGACCGTGCGCTGGACGCAGCAGCCTGGAGCGCTGTGCCACAACGATCAGCGCTCTGCCGCTGTCTGCTCAAAAGAGTCCATAAATGATGTAATATGGGTAGAAAACTTTTTTCCGGCTCCCCTGGATGTGTAGGATATACAGCTCCCCCATAATTCGGTCCCTGCTCCTGGATGAAATGCCAGACATTTTCATCAATACAAGAACCTCCAGTCCGGACATCCCGGACAGAGTGAAAAGTGGACATGTCCGGGGAAAAGAGAACGTATGGTCACCCTAGTTTAATATAAAGCGGGAGATTACAGATACAGTATTTTGCTCGTGCCCTTGCTGCTCTGGGCCTGGGCCCTTTAAATTTCGTGGGCCCTGGGCAATTGCCCAGTTGCCCATATGGTTAATCCGGCCTTGACTCTCAGGATCCCACAGCTTCATTTTAGCCTGGAGACTAGCGCGTTTCATTGCGATGATCCAACGTTTGCGGCATCCGTGTCTGTTCTGCATCCTGGGGCACAACAGAATCTACCATATTTCCCATTTGACTAAGTTTTCTGACAATAACAAATAGCCCAGCTGCGGCCTTCTGCCTGCCAAGATGGCGCCGCTTCGATTTGAACTGTTGCATGCCGGGAGAAGTGACGTCAACTCCCGGAGCTCTATTCAATAACTCCGCCCCCTGAGAATTCTAACGAGCCAATCAGCACTGAACAGCGTACGTAACACACAATAACGCCGAGTTTGTCATAAACATGGCGACAGAAGCGGAGTTCGCTGCGGCTCTTTCCTCTGTTCTAAATGACTTGCACACGTCTTTAAAACCAGACTAGTAATGCATGTAGAGGACGAGTCTGGCAGGCCAGGCTAGCCCCATGACGCTTCTCATGTTATATAAAAGTCTCTGTGGGGTCACGGTGGGGTGGTAGAACCTCACTAGGAAATATTTGAAATGTTTATTTTATTATTTATTGTTGGTTTTATGCTTCTCGGTAAACATCCTGTACTTTATAAGGTCAGGCTATCATGATCAGAAACATTTCTACCAGCTTTAGGTAAAACTCGACGTACCAAACAAACATTTCAGCATCTTTTACACATTTAACACAAGTAAACAGAACCCTGTAGCTATGATGTGATTGGACCCCAGTGAAAAGCTCCAGTGTTGTGTTTTTCACCTCAGGGCCAGTGCTCTCTAGTCGCTCCACTTCTCTGGAGCAAACATTCAAAAGATTAAAGTGCTTCTCCTGCTTTTCCCCATTTTCCATCCCCCACGTTACAACAGCTCACATCTTTCCTGTTTTCTAAGTGACAGCCACAAACCACACGAGCGTCGTGTAAAACTGCTTCTAAATCCGCTAAAAGGAAACAAGATCGTAACATATCAGTCCAGGCTGAGCGGAGCCTTCTGGGATAGAAGTCGGTGGAATTTTAGCCCAACGAACACAAACATCATTCCTAAAACAAATAAATGCTGCAGACCTCTTTGGTGAGCCTCGTGTCAGTCATTAAACATGAAGCAGAAAGGTTAGTGGTGGAGCTTTCCTCTGGAATACCGAAAAGCTTCAAGGCCCTGGGCCAGCTGTTGTTGTTGTTGTTGTTGTTGTTTACGGGTTTTGCAGCCAAATGAGCTCTAATAAACATTAGAAAATGTGAGGTAGAGAACCAGAGGACTAGCTGGGGAGAAAGTATTGATCTGGTCTAGAAGTTGCAAATCTCAGGTTGTCCTGTTTCATGGAAAAGCAAAGTGTTTTAATTAGAGCCGCCTTTGCCTCTGGTTAGCCGCCAGGATCCATCGTCTGCAGTCTGTGCAGGTCAGAAACGGGAAAGTCATTCAGGTTGTGACACACACACGCACGCATGCACACACACACACGCGCATGCATGCGCGCGCACACACACACACACACACACTGTGGTGCAGGACTAGTTAAACATTCAGATGTTCTGACTCTGCTGGTCTGTAGCTCATTGGTTCCTTTATTTTAAGGATGTCATTCATCAGCTGTTTTTGTTTATTTTTCACTCGTTTTTGTCACCAATGGAGACTCAAGTCTGACATTCAGACTCTGTTCACACTCAGGAATAAAGACTTGTGACTTGGGCCGTGCATCTTAAAATTGCCCTTCAGAGGCATTAAACCTCACTTAGACCTGTCTATCAAGAGCTACATTGGACATAGTCTAATCTCTTATAGACTCGGCATGACAAGTGTTGAAACTTAACTTGTGCATGGACTTTAAAAACCTGAGACATGACTTGGACCTCTAAGACCTGAGACGTGACTTGGACCTCTAAGACCTGAGACGTGACTTGGACCTTTAAGACCTGAGACGTGACTTGGACCTCTAAGACCTGAGACGTGACTTGGACCTTTAAGACCTGAGATGAGACTTGGACCTCTTGAGACCTGAGATGTGACTTGGACCTTTAAGACCTGAGATGTGACTTGGATCTCTAAGACCTGAGACTTGACTTGGACCTCTAAGACCTGAGATGTGACTTGGATCTCTAAGACCTGAGACGTGACTTGGACCTCTAAGACCTGAGACGTGACTTGGACCTTTAAGACCTGAGATGTGACTTGGATCTCTAAGACCTGAGACTTGACTTGGACCTCTAAGACCTGAGATGTGACTTGGATCTCTAAGACCTGAGACGTGACTTGGACCTCTAAGACCTGAGACGTGACTTGGACCTTTAAGACCTGAGACGTGACTTGGACCTCTAAGACCTGAGACGTGACTTGGACCTTTAAGACCTGAGATGAGACTTGGACCTCTTGAGACCTGAGATGTGACTTGGACCTCTAAGACCTGAGACGTGACTTGGACCTTTAAGACCTGAGATGTGACTTGGATCTCTAAGACCTGAGACTTGACTTGGACCTCTAAGACCTGAGATGTGACTTGGATCTCTAAGACCTGAGACGTGACTTGGACCTCTAAGACCTGAGACGTGACTTGGACCTTTAAGACCTGAGATGTGACTTGGATCTCTAAGACCTGAGACTTGACTTGGACCTCTAAGACCTGAGATGTGACTTGGATCTCTAAGACCTGAGACTTGACTTGGACCTCTAAGACCTGAGATGAGGTTTGGACCTCGTTTTGCCCTTGTTTAATCAAACATGGCTGAATGTTTAGTCTCGTGTCCTTTAAGGACATTTTGTCTTTCATGATGATGTTTTAATGAAAGTTCCTGTTTGGGGTTAAAGGTTAGGATTGCTCTCATCTTTGTGGTTCTTCGGCATGTGGTGTTGCACCTGTGTGTAAATGTTGTTATTGAGGATGAATTTGTTTGTCTTTATTTAGCTCACTAGTATCATTTTGAGTCTTTTTGCTTTCCTGGATACGTTTCTGTGTTTTCACACGTACCTACAGATGCTAACGGAGCAGCAGGTACTTCAGGAACACCGATGTTGTTCCTGAGCGTGGAACCTTCCGGACGCTGCTTTAGTCTAAGTCATCGACATATAAATATGGTCTAAGTGTAACGCTGATGGTTCCAGTAGAAGAATAATGGAGCCAGTCTCCCTCTAGGGAGGTTTCACTGGTGTAAAACACTAAAATCACTTTTATGTACCTCCTAGTGTTAATGAACACCGCAGATAATAACAAATAATAATGATAATATTGTTTTTGGTATTTTACAATTAACAAGTGAAAACATTGCAAAAGAACATGGACTTTATTTTATTTTTCTTTGGGATTTTGACATTTGCAGAAAAAGATGTTAAAATAAAACGTGAATAAATCTAAAATGATTACTGTTGTGGAAACGAAACACTATTAGTCCATAAAACACTGAACAGCTGAACTTTTCCACAAATCCAAGATTAGTTGGAAACCATTCCAGGAATTCAATGACCTTGGTGCAAATGTGAGAAAGTTTTCTGGCGAAGGCGCTCTGTGGTTTTGTGTTTCTACAACATTGAGTGTGTAAAAGGAGGTCTGCATAGTGAGGAGGCTGACCTTCAGCCTCAGCGCTGCAGGACCCCGACCTGAAGACTCGTCCTTCAGCCGGTCGGCCAATCCATGCTGGTCCCAGCGGCGCAGCTGCACACCTGAATACGACCTTTGTTTTATAACTCACAGGAAACTGTACAGCTAACTGTGTGTGTGTGTGTGTGTGTGTGTGTGTGTGTGTGTGTGTGTGTGTGTGTGTGTGTGTGTGTGTGTGTGTGCGCACGTTCGTGTCACTGTGTGTATGTGTGTGTGCATGCATGTGTGTGTATGTGTGTGCATGCATGCATGCCCGTGTTTCTGTGTGCATGCATATGTGTGTATGTGTATGCGTGTGCGTGTGTATGCGTGCCTTTATGTGTGTGCGTGTGTGGATGCCTGTGTGTGTGTGTGTGTGTGTGTGTGTGTGTGTGTGTGTGTGTGTGTGTGTGTGTGCCCCAGCAGAATCTCTGTTCAGCGGCCTGGGGCTGGGTGCGGTGGTGGGCCTGGGCCTGGGAGCGCTGCTGCTGCTCCTGGTCCTTGTGGACGTCAGCTGCTTCTTCCTGCGCCACTGCGGTCTGCTGATGTGCATCACGCGTTCGGTCTGCAGCAAGAAAACTGCCACAAGTGGCAAGGGCAAAGAGATGGAGGAGGGCAAGGCCGCCTACCTGTGAGTATCCATCCTGTGAAAGTTTCTTAACTCCTTAAATCAAATGATTAGGTTACCATTGTAGCAGGATAAATGTTTGTAAGTCATTAGGTACTTCATGCTTGCAGAGGGAACATCTGCTGTGGGTGTATCTTCTTACGTTGTGGCCTCCTGTTACTGAAACAAAATATTTCCAAACTCTCCCAGAAATTTGATACAAATCAGAAAAAAAAATCTGCTTCATAAAAACATTTTCTCCAGATTTCAGTGGTGAACCGTTGGGCTCGAGTTAAAATAACACAGCTTAGAGCAAATGAAAGCCATTACAATTATTAATACTAAATACCAAGTTCATCTATCTCCAAGGAAATGGGCGGGGCTACACCAGCCAATAGAAACGCGTCTGCAGCCTGAAAGACATTTATTTTTTATCCAACGTTTCCGTCGAATTTCAAAATAAAAGTTTTGCAATCAAATGTGTCGTGACATGTTTTTGTTTGAGTAAATAAGCAACTCACATAGGAAAACTAAAGTGGGCGGAGCTTATCAAAAATGGTATGCTAACCAATCACAGAGGGGTTTGGGGTTAATTTGTCTGCCTGGCAACAAAGCTGGAAAGATTGTGACTAGATGAAAACGGAAACACCAGCTGGCTCATGTCTGGACACGCGTTTCATTACAATTAGGAGTTTTTTAATCCACCTGAGGACAGACGAGTCCCACTCAGAGGGCCTGATGGTTCACCACTTCAATGCTTTATTAGAAATAATTCCAGAACTGACCAGGAATTCACCTGCGGCGTACAAATGAAACTGTTCTTGTCATGTAAAGTCTACATCTATACGAGTGAGAAAAGGAGATTTCTTTTTACTGTAGGTACACCTACAACAGCCGTCCAACCACCCTTTCAACCACAGTATGTCTCTGATTCTGTCTTACTCACTAGCGTCTGTGCGTCTCATCCACCGTGCAGTGCTCCACCTCATCCTGCATGTTGTGTGGCGTGCTCCAGCTTTCACATCACGCATGCAGAACGCCTCGCTGCATGCTCCGCTCGCACTAGCAAACACATTCTCCTCTCGTGTTTCTGTTCAACACCCAGCATGCAGTCCCAGCAGCCGCCGCGGCCCGGAGGCCGCAGAGCGGCCCGTTTTCAGGTCTAGGCTCGTTGATGGTCCTCTCGGTGAGACGGCACCCACAGAGTCAGATTCATCGGCGTCAGCAGAGGGAGTGCCCTGAATGCTGAGTGTGTGTGTGTGTGTGTTAGTGCTGAGTCACTGAGCCCACGGCTCTGGAGGGCTGAGTTAGCAGCTGCTCTGACAGCATGGAAGATGCGTGTCTCAGTGACTTGTGACACGTTAATCGTATAAAGCACACGGAGCAGCAGAGTCGAGTAAAAGCTTCTATACCAACACAAGTTGTGTTGTTTTTGTGGAACAGCCACTTTAACTGTACAACACACACCTGCTGGACTTGCTGCTTTAATTTTCATTTCTGCAAAAATCAGATAATCAAAAGCAAGATTTATTTGTAAAATTAATTTAAATGCAGTTGATTCATTCGGCATTGTTCACAACTAAATATCATCGTACAGTGTCATAAAATCCTGCTTATCTCACACCTGGTTTCAGTTCCCTCCAGCTGCTCCATAATCAGATTAAAGTAGATTATAAAACAAGCTTTCCTGCCTAGGGGAGCAAGCACACCCCCCACCCTGAGCAAGCTCAGGGCAACTGTAGGAAGAAAAACACTCCTTTAACCGTTAGGATACGAACAGCTGAGGAAACCAGAGATAACATTTTTAATCATGAAAAATCTTAATATAAAACTCAGTCGGAGGTTTAACCGCATGTTCGTGTTCCCACATCGCCGTGGTGCTGGTAGCGTTCACACACAGGGCACTAAATGAAATAATAAAGGCTTTTAATGTTAAAGCTAATGAGGACATGGCCTTCTAAGCTTTTCTGCTGCTACGTTTTACTCTTTATTACATGTCCTTGTGTTCTTTGTACGTTCTAACAGCCCGAGAACAAAAGTTTTACATGAATGAAATTTTCATCTCTGGGTTTCACATAATTATTCATTTAATGAACCTTTTGGACTCGGACCATTTTATGGTGAACGGCAGAAGGCCTGTTTTATTAAAAGCACCATCTCTGTTCACTGTCAGGATACAAAAACACTCCTGTTCTAGATGAGGCCGTGATGTTCTCCGTCTGCAACCTTTAGGATCAACTACCTTATTTTTGGTTGAGTCATACCAACCGGCTCTTTTCTCCACCGATGGTGATTATTTATGAGCGCGTGCCTCGTCTCTAACACTACGCTCCCCGACTTCCAGCCATGATGAAATCTGCATACTAAATAAAGGAATGAGGTGAGCTTGTAAAGATAAGAGCGTAAACAAAGCCTCCAGAGACGTTCTGCAGCTCGGGACTCTGCAGGAAGCAGATACTGGAGTTTTCCTTTGAGTCCTGCTGGATGATGGCCGGGGGCTTAATTAACGTCAGCCGAGGGAAAAACTTGGTGGCCTGCCGGTGCTTTGGTGTCAGAGATGAGTTTAGAGTTTATAAACACACACCTGCAAACTTTCTCTGATATCGCCAGCCTGCCATGAGGGGAACGCCGCCATCGCCAACCACCGCCGCGTCTGCTGCTGGCACATTCTGAGGCTTGTCAAGACACGGTTGCATTTCCTTTTGCTTTGCTTTACCAAACGTTGTTTTGCTTAAACTTCTGAGGGTGTGTGTGCACAGAGGCGGTGTGTGTGCAGGGCAGTGAGTGTCGCAGAGGAAAGACGATGCAGGTCTCTGCTGGTGGGTTTCCTCTAGACTTTAGGCTGAAATGGCAACACACGATGTTCATCCATCAAGAGCAGGTTTGTTTGCTGCCTTTTGTTTTGGCTTTCACCAAAAACCCCAACATGAATCAGAGTTTATGAATAAAGAGCGTTGCAGAACGACTAATTCAATCCAGGACGGCTTTTTGTGAAGATCTGGATGACTGCATTATTAAATGGCAACTCTGGTCTTTTTCCTCAAACAGACATTCTAGTTTTAACGTTTGTTCCCAAAGGGGCAGCTTTCTGTTGTGTGAAAATAGTACATAACTATATTTATTTGAGCTGGTGTAGAAAGCTTCCTGAACAGCCTTGGTTTGCAGAAAATAGCTTTCACCCAACAGGACTGAGGAGCTAACAGCTAGTTTAAACATACAAAGAGTGTTGCTGCCTTTCTACATGCAAACGTGGTTTTATTCCTCTTTTACTTTTAGGGTTAGACTTAAAAGTTTCTGTTCTTATTTATGAAGATAAATATCACCAGTTTTAATAAGTAACTCCTTTGAGATGACTTTAGATGGCAAGTGTGAGCACTGGCAGTCTTGTGTTTATTCCTAATGGAATTCCAGACCAGTAATTTCACGGTTGTTTCTGCAGAAATCATAACAACTATCTGCAGAGCATGACCCCGGATGACTCTTGTCACATAAAGCAAATATAAAATCAACCAAACAGATGCAAAGAAGTCAAATTTTACAAAATTTTATAAAAACAAATGATAAAAAAAATGCTGCTTTAAACTGTGCTGAAGGCTATTGGAAGTGTCAGTGATAAATGACCTGAAGTAGCACACACCACAACCCCCCAAGGCACTTTACAACACAGCCATTTAGCCACACACACTGGTGGTGATGAGCTACAGGGTAGCCACAGCTGCCCTGGGGTGCACTGCCGTACGCAGGTACTACCGGTCTCTCTGACCACCACCGGCAGGTCAGGAGGATTACGTGACTTCTTCAACGACACCACTGTGGTGGGATGAGCCTGTGTGCTTTATACACTGGATCTTTACTGGAAACATTATTACCAGAATACTTCCACAAAGACAAATCATTGTTTCATAAAAATACCCTTAAAGCTTCATGAAAATAATTAGAAAGGACGTTACTGTAAGAAGAGCCTACAGGATACATGTTTGTGATGCATAAACAAAAAACCATCCTCTGCCTCTCATTTGCCAACTTCTATTATCTAAAGTTTCAGATGGCACTTCCTGGATGAAACTTTATTAATATGTGGGTTCAGCAAATCACTTTTGCTCTTCTTGATTTACACTCAAGAAAGATGAAACAGCGAGCGGCACCAATTTCCCATGAACTGAGAAAACCTCGCCATCTGAAGTCCAATCTGGGTTTGCATGAAGCTAATGAGACATGAAATTGGCTCTCCTGTGCGGGCACTTGAGCATCCACCAATCAGCCATGGGGGAGTTCCCTCACCCATTCCAGCCCACTGGAATATCCGGCCTTACTAGGTACAGCACCACACCAGGCTCCCGGAGCTCCTGGATCAGCAGCAGTGTGGAGGAGGTTAGAGTTTTCAGAATAACATGATGAAAACACCACAAACCTGTAACTTTGTTTTTAGCATCCGTCTAACTCACTCTCCGTGAGTAAACGTGGACCTGTCTACTACTACAGTTTCCATGGGAAGGGGATTTACGTTTCCCAAATAGACTGAAGTATTTAGGTTGGAACACATGTGAACAAGCCTGCTTCGCTCCAGCGTCTAGAAGAGGCAGGCACTGGAAGTAAAATTAAACACACTCTAAAGAACCTAAAGGAAAATCAAAGCAGCCACATGTAAACCCCACTCAGAGACCCCCAGCCGGGCGTTGAACCTAAAACCTTCTCACTGGAGGACAAAGAGAGCTCTACTTTTTCAGGAAAGCTAGCTGAAGTTTATGCTTTTGTGAGTAAACCAATCAAATTATCCAGCTGTATTTATTTCTGATTATCACCAACTTCAGAGTTTAGTTATACCATTAATGCCAGTGCATTTGGAGATCATTCCCAGTCTGAGAACGTGGAACCTTGGAATGTGAATGAGGTAGTAGCTCAGGAGGTAGAGCGGGTTGTTCAGTAATCAGAAGATTGCAGGTTCGATCCCGGCTTCAACCAGAGAATGCTGCTGTAGTGTCCTTGGGCAAGACGCTAAAGCTTGGTTTATGCTTGACGCATTCACTTTCCACGCGGTGATGCGGCTCGCGGATGGAACGCGCGTCACAACTCGCAGCTTTTATGGTTCATGCGGCTTGTCTCTGCGGTGAGCCAATATTCTCCCAAACTGTAGGGGGCAGCATGGAGCTCTACGGCATGTATCCAACACTACACCATAGTAGAAGTAAAAATTACTGTTGTTTACAACATGGCATTCCAGCATTTTTAACAGCGTCCTCGTCTTTTCCGACAGTGCGAGCTATTTCTCTCCAAGAATTATTAACAACATGTTGATCACGGTGATCTTTGAGAGCTGAATCATACAAATGTCTGTATTTACGAACCTCTGCCATACTAGTTCTTGCCGGTCCGCCATGTTTTTCCGCGTCCGACCGTCCGCATGGTTAGAAAATTTCCTAGGTGCACGGTGCAGAAATTTTGGGCCGTGTGGAGGGGCGTGGTTGTTAAAATGACGCAATTTCGCCGTGCGGACCTCGCAGATGCATCAAGCTTAAACCAACCTTTACCACACCTTGCCTGCTGGTGGTAAGCAGCCTTGCCTCTGTCCATGCGCCCCAGGGCAGCTGTGGCTACATGGTAGCTCATCACACATTCAGCGTGTGAATGTGTGAATGACTGCTTGTGCTGTGAAGCGCCTTGGGGGGTTGTAGAACCCTAAAGCCGGTTTCACACTGCAAGCATCAGCAGAACGGAAAGGCAGCAAAGCAGCACCGCTTCAAATAGAATCCAGTTATAGTCTATGGAGTGTTTCAAACCAGCCGCGACGCAGCAATTTCCATACGTGTCCCAGAAGCAGCATGCCGCGCCCCGCCGCTAAAGATATGATCGAGTTCTATTTTTTCTGCGACCCGCTTCTGGGACACGTCAATTTCCATAGTTCACATAGTGCGAGACAGG